CAGCCCCAAACCCAGCCTGGTACGCTCAGTCACCTGAAGGCTGTAGCATTCGCGGGCGCCCATGTGAACAATAAAAAGTGCCTCTTGCTTTTGTATCCAGTGGTCTGGACTCTGTTCTTGGGCACAGAGGGCACCAGTGGGAGGACACTCAATTCGGGGGTCTTTCAGAATATGCAAACTTACCTCAGATTGGTGTTAAATGATTAAGTTAATTTAGGTATAGTTCAACTACTTCATTTGTTTAAAAACCATGAGTGATAGTAGAGCAAACACAAGATTTAGGGTCCCTAACACTCTCTGCTTACCAAAGTTCTGGGCTAACCTCAGACTCGGGGTCTTCCTTCAGCACACACCACACTATCTGCTCTTCCCTCAGTCAGGTATGGCCCTCCCATGTCTTTTCAGCCCCTGCCCTCAATCTTCTGGATTATAAATTATCACCCACTCTTGCTCCTCTTTCCTCAGACTATCCTCATGTGTGTGTGTGTGTATGTGTGTGTGTCTGTGTCTACATGCATTTGTGTGCCCCTGTGATTTTATTTCACTACCCTCAGTCTCTGTCTTCAGACCTCCAGGTTCCCTGTAAAACCCACAAAGGATCATTTGGTTTCCCTTAGGAAACAGAGAGTATTATATCTGGGGGCAAACCTACAACAGACTTCTCCCTTGAAGGCCAGTTTCTCTAGTAATACCCCCCACCCCCAGGACTTCTCTGTGTGTCCTGGCTGTCCAGGAACTCACGTAAACCAGTCTGGCCTTGAACTCAGAGATCCACCTGCTTCTGCCTCCTGAGTGCTGGGACCAAAGGCCTGTCCCACCACTGCCTTTTCTAGCTTCTAGTGCCTTTTCTGAGATACTCTGTTCTGATTTCTCTGAGAATCTCTGGTCTGTAGAGAAAGATGACTTGAAGACTCAGACTTGGGACATACGTACCTAGCTGCTTTCTGAGTGAGTTCCAGTGGGAAATCTGGGCACAGTAGCTGCAGCAGGCAGTGGTACTCCCTCATGGTCAGCAAGTCTGCAGTGCAACGAAAAGGAGCATGTTAGGACTACAGTTCAGCTCACTGCCCACCCTTCGGTTATGTCATGGCTTTCAGGCCCAGTCTTGTAGAATGCTGCAGCAGCAGGAGAAGCCAGTTAGTGTTTTAAATGCAGGGTCCACAGATGGGAGCCTGCTCCACCAAGTTAGTGTAA